AGAGAGAAGAGAGAGAGAAAAAGAGAGAAAGAGAGAGAGAAAGAGAGAGAGAGAGAGAGAGAGAGAGAGAGAGAGAGAGAGAGAAATGAGGAAGGAGTACGTTAACGATTACAATTCCTTGTGTGTTGTTAATTTAAAAAGTGCTTGCTTGCACTTACATTGTTTTGCAGTAACATTTTCAAGCACCCGTGTAGCTTTAGTAGTATGTCTGTGCGAAAAAGCCTTACTGCCTGGAAGAGACATCATAAACTGAATGGACTGATTCAGTGAGAATTTACTAAAAGAGCGAATAAGCTAAAAATTAAGTAAAAATAACTTACTTTTCAAGTTATGTCACTTCTTGTATAAATATATATCACACGATCACAGTCATAAGACAGCACTCCACGTTTCAAGGTGAGCTTTTTCCCCAGCCCATTTTTTGTCTTTTAGTTTTATGTTCCATGCATTGGCACCTACCATGTACTGTAGTCGTCTGTTTCAGTTCATATCTGTTGATATTTCACACTTGACGGTAATACATATCTACCAGAAGCTCACTTGGACGCGTCGAAAGGCGTTTTAACACATACCGAGAACGAGGAATGATAATATTGAATAGCGCACCATCTATAGGTAAGTATAATCTCTGCAATTAAAGTAGAAGCTGGAGCTAGTTATGAGACGAACACACAGTTTTTAGAATACACTAGTAGTTAGATTTAGTTGAATATACACAGTAGTTGACTTCATTTGAACCTTCTTTGCCATGTTGCCTGATCTGGATTCACTCTCAACTGTCCTGAAAAAGACATTGGATGTCAAGGGGATGGGGGTGAGTGTGGGGGTAGGGTTGTGAAGGCGATTGGAGGTAAGGGCGTGAATGGAATGAGGGGAGGGGTGGGGAGGAGGAGGAGGAGGAGGAAGGAAGGAAAACTACCCTGCAACCGTTCTTTCAGACACATGTCGAGACATACCTTCCGTAGCCACGTCCTTTATCTCCAGCCCCAGATCACCGGCCAGCGAACCCAGGAAGGAGAAGATGACGAACCCACCCAACACACAGGTCAGCGAGTCGCCGATAGCGACGATAAGAGAGTCCCTAGCAACGAAAAAAAACCCCAACATCTTCAGGTCTGACAGAGACTCAGTTAAAAAAAAAATGTTATCCGAGTATGCGAACAACAGTCCTGAATTAAATAAGAGTTTTACGGCACTTGCAACAAAACTTGGTAATTTAAGTGCTGAAGGTAAGAGGTGTTACGTACATAAGAGCAACACAGTAAGACATGGACTGGTCTGTGTATAGAGGAACGTGCAACGGCAGCTCGCAACCTTGAAGGCTGGAGGGTTATTACACGTCAACCTCTGGGCTAGAGATGATACCTCCAGGTGTAACTCACACAGAAAAGAAGGAGACGAGACAAAGACGATATATATTTGATAGGACAGGAAGGAGGCGAGGTAAGGACGATAGCTGTTTAATAGGACAGAAGGAGCAAACCACACACGGGCATCCTTCAACCACCCATAAGTGGTGTAGTAAACAGCTGGCCTCTAATGCAAAAGTTTCGGGTCGATTCCTTCGGTGGAATGACGCTGACCATTAACAAAGTCAGGGCCCATTGTACAGGGAGTGAACAACGGTCGAGATCTCCCTGGTACACAAAGCTGACCCCGATTTAGTAACCACCTGGCCAGAGAAGAATTGGCTGAAACAATTGTAGAACAAGGTACACAAGGTGCAGTCAGATTAAAATGTTTGCGAGTGCTCTAAATGAGGCATATTGTAACTGAAAATAGCCAAGACGGATTAAAAAACCCAGAAAAATAATATTCATGCATGATTTCACGGACTTTTTTCCCCTGTAAAACATGTGGTGAAATTGGTTTGACAGACCAAAATACGCGTACATTCTGTGAAAAGATTGTGAAAAAAAGATTGAATTGATAAAGGCTTGTTTTTTTTCGTAATGTTTGTGAATATGCGACCTGCAAAATACCAAGTGTAAAAAAAAGCCATTCAAAGGGCAACAGCTTGGCCGTCTTTGGACCAATTTTAACAAAACTTCAATGAAATAAAGTTTAAATGAGGAGACGTAGTATTTTATCATTATCACCCAGTGCCAGATCTGTGACAGATATCAGCAATCATGGTTCTTCATTCATTCCTTTGCTCGGATGCTGTATAAAAAAGCAACGTTTCCCTGATCTTTCCCTGTTACCCATTAGTTTAGGTTCCCTAAGTATGTTGTTCTGGACCTACCCCTGCCTCGTTTGCCCTCAATTTTGCCAGTGAGAGCTAGCTGTCCAAGACCCTTATGTCTATTCAGGTGTCCCAAAAACTGCATTTCTTTTAACATTGAGCGTCCTACGTGGGCTTTATCAAGCACTACCCCATTTGATTTCTTTTCCTTCCACGATACTCTTAGCAGTCTCCCAAGAAACCACATTTTGGTTGCTTCTATTTTATTTTCACTTTCTTTAGTGATTGTCCAGCATTCACAGCCATATAGAAGGG